ATAGTTAGGGCTGGTTCAGGTTTATAGTTAGGGCTGGCTCAGGTTTATAGTTAGGACTGTTTCAGGTTTATAGTTAGGGCTGGTTCAGGTTTATAGTTATGGTTGGCTCAGGTTTATAGTTAGGGCTGGGTCAGGTTTATAGTTATGGCTGGCTCAGGTTTATAGTTATGGCTGGCTCAGGTTTTTCTTGGACCAGCCCTTAGACAAGCTGGTATAGGCCTAGACTACAGGGGGACTTCCTGATACATTTAGCTCCTCTCTCATCTTCTTCATCTCCTTCTGTATGAATTCATGGCTCATTACTAACTTTGCTTCTTCACCAGAGTCTTTGTGCTTTCTCACCTCGCAGGTTCCCGTGGATCCTGGTTATACTTGGACCTGGTCTTGCCTCCTGCCGTGGTTCTGTCATAAGCATTGAATGTGTTGTAACTCTGTTATGTTGTTCATTCTGTACACATGACATCTATTGCACTTATGTCCATCCTGGGAGAGGGGTCCCTCCTCTGTTGTTCTCTCACAGGCCTCTTTTCTCCCTGTTAAAGGGTTTCTGGGGGAGTTTTTCCTGTTCTGATGTGAGGGTCCTGGGACAAGAGGATGTCGTATGTGTACAGATTGTAAAGCATTATGACGCTAATTTGTAATTTGTGATTTTGGGTTGTAAAAAATACATTGAATTGAATTTGTAAACACACTCTAACAAGCCCACAAAATTGCAGCTATTTTGCACCTGATCGCAGTAATCCATGTGGCAAAGTATCAACGAGGCCAATGTGTTGGTTGTGAAGGGTGAGAGCCAGCCTGAGACGAGTCCAAGTCAATTTGGGCTGGTTTAAATTCTCCTGCTTTCATTGTGTCCGTATACGCATCGGTGCCGCAGAGCACATATATGTCGATGGGTGAAATAATACATCATTAATGAGCAAAATATTGATTACATTCTCTTATTTTACAAGTTTTGAGATTTTTTGAAAATACCTGCAGCTTAACTTCATTGATTAGTTGAACCTTGTTTTTTTTTTTTCCATTTCTTTTGCAAAAGTGACATGTCGTGGAGATTGCCACCCTATCGACCAGTACGTACAGAACTCTTTAATCATTTATTTTTCATGACACAACTTTGCATCCCAAAATAAGTGAGTTTGAGTGGACAGCCACAGTCTCTGAGGACACCAGTCGTTCCCTGTAGCTGTGTGGGCTGATCACCACTGATCTTTGTGAATTGGACCGTTTTTGCAGTGTAGGAAATGTTGCACTAAATATCTGTAATGGTAATATCTGCTTCTCACCACAGTAGGCGTTTCCCCCTTTGTGGGCGCTTAGAATGGTTTTTGGTTGTTTTGTCTTATTTGATTTAGCGACCCAAAGTCACGCAATCTATTTGTGGGTTTGCCACTCAGTGTGTGTGTGTGTGTGTGTGTGTGTGACTGGTTTTGAACTTATTTGCAAAAGATCTGAAAAATAGTGTTTTCCATAATGAAAAGATAAAAACATGCAAAAACATTTTAATTTGTAATCCAAATGACACATATACAAGGATTCAGGATATTAGCATGTCATTCTTCAGAGATCACAGCCAAAAGAACAAGAGAGAAAAATACAATCTGTACATATTTCAGTTTACAGTGAGGAGCCAGGTGGAGAGGACCAGAGGACACTAAGGCAAACCATCAGCAGACAGAAGAAACATTGCCTTTTTTTGTATTTAATCCACAGCAGAGTATCGAGAAGTATCGTTGCTACAAAACCAGGACCGATGTCTCTCTTTGTTAGCAATCGGCTGCATAAGTTACATCGTGATAAAAGCGAAAAACAAAAAACAGAAGGTATCTATCTAAAGTCTAGCATTACTGTACATGTCTTCTCACTAGTCTTGGAACACCAAACTGGTAAAAATATGCAGCTCTTTCATACAGCTCTGGTTTTGACCGACGTCTGCTTCCCATGAAGAGAAAGCAACACAACACTGTCAAAGGCTGGAAGTCTGCAGGGAGCAGTTCCTCCAGCCTCACACGCTGGAGCACTGCTCCTCTATACGATGCTGCAGTTCTTAAGAGAGCATGAAGGAACCCAAGAACCTTTGACCCATTTATTATCAACTCAATATCGTGACTTTGTGATAACAACAAATAACGTAGCGGCCCAAATTTTAAGATGGTATTTTTTTTATCCGGATATATAATATGAAATAATACATATTCAATGCAGCAGATGTTCTCATTGAATGAAAGTAAAGGTGTTCGTGGCCTTAATGCTGCTAGGCCAACAGCTTCCTACTAGTTCTTTTAATGTGTAATGAATTCTCTGGATGTCTGAACTGCAGAAACCGCTTCATTATGTGAAGAATGAACTGCACATGAACACATATTCAAACCAGATCACTTTACATCTTGAGCTGATGTTAATCTGGGTAAACCTTCCCAACAGGGAAGTGTTGCTCGTCTTCAAAGTCTTTCCAAAAAACGGTGCTGAAAGAAGGGCCGGTCTGGTAATAGGTCGGGTGGAAGTAAAGTCGATATGTTGGATACTGCATCTATTCTCAAAAACACCATCCATCTGAAATTAAAGGTGGAAAGAGTGAATACTACAACAGATTTAGCAACAGAAGATGTGTTTGTACAGTACATCACATGTGTACGTAGATATTCAGTTTCTCCTGTTCCATATCTTTTATACAAGTGGAACTTTTCATCTTTGATTTTATCCTCCTGGGACCATGAATATCCATGTAAAAGTCATGAAAATGTGGTCGGAAATTGACAAAATATCTTCCTCTATCATTTTGTTCACGACTGTCAGTTTATTGATCCGACCGTCGCTCTGCAAACAAAAGTGCTTCAAATGTTTTTAGATTTGAGTTTTTCTTCGTTGGGGTCTTGATTCTTTGTTGGTGTTTTTTGCTTTTCGTTTCCTTTCATCTGCACAAACACATGAATGGAAATTATACTTCATCACCGTCTCTCGCCACTTTGCTTCCCTGTGTTTTGTCGTCCTAGAAATGAGCTAAACTACATTCCATTCTAACTCCCCATTCATGAAAGCACAACAAGGACATAACCACAATATTTAAACTGAAAAAACATTCCCTGCTTGTAAAAACCTCCATTCAGAGAGAATGTTATTTAAATGCGTCATGGCGTTAAATGTCCTCGATTATCTAAGAGTGCTGAAAACAAGGGGAGGCAGCCATTCCTCACTGCAGTTCAATCTCTGTTCTCGGTTACTAATCAAAAGACAAACTGAATATGTAGATGGGATTCTGCTAACCTGTGATTGGGAGGCTGCTTGTCATTTCCTGCCTGAATCCGATGGAAAGAGAAAAAACTTCAACACCCAGAGCTGTACAAGTAAAGCCATGTTTCTGCTGGCAGGATCATCCGTCTCATAATACGCGTTGCCCTTTTATAGCGTCCATCCAGTGTGTCTCTGTGGAAATGACACGCACGCACGCACACACACACGCGCGCGCACGCACACGCACACACACACACGTGGCGAAGTGCTCCAGTCGCCGTCGCAAAAACACCGGGAGCTTTTAAAGCAACGCATAGAATCAAGACTGAACACAATCAAAAGAATGTACAAAAAGGCACATTTGACCCCAGTGCTCCTGTACTGTGAGATTCAAGTGTAAATGAGCGTCTGTAGCATGGCTGTTGTAGCTCTTAGCCGCCGTGGAGACAACCAGTCCCCTCTGAGCGCATTGCTCACACGTGTTAGCACAAGGACTAACACTCAGTGATGTCCATCAGCCTGAATTGCTAGGCCAGGAGTCCGAATGGTCCCTAGTATCATCGAACCGTCGTCAAGTGGGCAGCAGGTCTCTTTACAAGCTGAACCGTGGTGAAGCAGAAGTGCAGATCCAATACCCCCGTGCATTTACCCTCCGTAATCCTCGTTTCCTCAACCCCACCCGCCCCACCTGAGCCCTGGAGCAGCAAACGGTGGGGCGGGGGAGGGTGGTTGTTGCAGGCGGGGGTTGTGGGGGTGGGGCGCTAGTCATCCCCTCCGCCGTACAGGTCGGCCAGCTTGCGGAAGCGCGGCCCCCAGTCGCCGAGGTAGTCATAGTCCTGGTCGCCACAGCTCGAGGAGGAGTGCAGGGAGCTGAGGGAGCCGGCGTCAGAGCCACTGCCCTCGTAGTCGAACACCAGCAGGGAGTCGTAGGGGGGGGCGGTGGGGTCGTTGTCCGCTGCCTTCAGGCCCTGCAGAGAGAAATGGAGGACGGACAGGAAGGTGAGCAAAGACAAGTTTGGAAAATTGATGAGAGAATCTTTACTACGAGATGCCTTTCTTCTTTGCCCGAGGAAGTCTACTTTCCGGATGTTGATTTTTATTATTATTACTATCAGCAGCAGTTATCAAATAACAAAAAATACTAAAGTTAACTGTAATGTTTAATCTTTATTTAAGAAAATGAATATTGAGTTTTGCACACATCCTCTTATGCCCCAGAGATCCACTCAACAGATGTCTTTATGCAGCCCGACTGAAAAAGACGCGGCACACAAACAATATGGCCGCGTCGACAACGATGATGAACCTGCGCGCCCCGGGTAGCCCCCACTGCCTCGAGATGCAATGACGGTTATCAGCCCTGTTAAAGGAAGAGTTCAGACATGTGTGTGATTAACTCTGAGAGTCGTGTTAATCCGTCTGAGGGAGTGGAGCGCTTTGCAGAAGGTTTAAAGGTACTCAAAGGCATTCAAATACAGTTCTCTCACTGGGGCTGGACCCATGTATGGGGGCATTACTGCACTCTTATACATCACTATGTCAGTGTAGTCAGTTTTCTACATCAACTTTCTCAAACAGACACCTCCACTACACATTTATTAGACAGGTGTGTGAAGGTATAGGAGTGAAATATATACACTACTACATCTGTCACCTTTCATGTACAACTGAGTGTAACATTATGAGATGGGCAGAGAGGACAGCAGACGACTCCGGTAAGACCAGAGGCCTGTGCATTTATACAAACAGAGCTTGGTGCACGGACACTGCTGTAATGTAGAGTCACTGCTCTGCTAACCTGGAACATCTCATGGTTAAGTGTAGACCTTTCTATCTGCCCAGAGAGTTTACATCTACTAGTGTGACTGCAGCATATACCCCCCCGGTGCTAATGCTAAGCTTGCAATGAAGGAATGGCATGCTGCTATTAGCAAACTTCAGACTAAACCCCCGGAGGCAGCCTTTATTGTTGCGGGTGACTTCAACCACTCCAACCTGAAGTCTGTACTCCCCAAATTTTACCAACATGTCTCCAGCCCCACTAGAGGAGACAAGACCTTGGACCATGTTTACAACAATATGGCTAAGGCATACAAAGCCATTCTCCTCCCCAACCTGGGACAGTCGGAACATCTCTCATTGTTCCTACTCCCCAAGTACACACCACTCACCAAACGTGAGAAACCATCAGTGAGAACAGTTAAAGTGTGGCCAGAGGGAGCAGACTCTACACTACAGCACCGATTCCAACACATGGACTGGAGTATGTTTGCCAGTCAGGCCACCCTGGACTCTCACACGGACATAGACTCTTTTTCCTCCTCCATTCTGGACTACATCAGCACCAACATCAATAGTGTCACCTTCCTCAAACAGCTTACAACGTTCCCAAATCAGAAGGCGTGGATGAACAGAGAGGTCCGCCTACTGCTGAAGGCACATCACACCGCCAGGTGATGCGCAAGCCTACAGCTCATCCAGAGCCAACCTGAGGAGGGGCATCAAGAGGGCCAAGCACAGCCACAAGCTAAGGACTGAGGAGTACTTCAACAACAACTCCGACCCCCGACGCCTGTGGCAAGGCATCCAGGCCATTAAGGATTACAAACCCTCCAACACCACCCCCCCCAACCAGCTCCCTGATGAGCTTAACAACTTTTATGCTTGCTTTGACAGGGACAACCAGGAGGCGGCAATCAAGACTGTGCCCCACCACAGACCACTGCAGACCACCAGCCACTCACACTTTCCCCCACCGACGTGTGTGCTGCGCTGAGCAAGATTAGTGCACGTAAGGCTGCTGCCCTGATGGCATCCCCGGACGCGTGCTCAGGGCCTGTGCTGGCCAGCTGACTGAGGTCCTGACTGACATCTTCAACCTGTCACTGGCCCAAGCAGCTGTACCCACATGCTCCAAAACACTGCACTGCAGCTGCACTCACCCCATCATCATGAAGTGCTTCGAGAGGCTGGTCCTGGCTCATCTCAAAACATGCCTACCACCCACACTGGACCCCCTCCAATTCGCCTACCGCCAGAACAGGTGTACAGAGGACGCCAACTCCACAGCGTTTCACTCCTCCCTCTCCCACCTGGACAACAACATCACCTACGTGAGAATGCTGTTCATCGATTTCAGTTCAGCATTCAACACCATCACCCCCTCCAAACACGGTGACCATGGCATCAACACCTCCCTCTGCAGCTGGATACTGGATATCCTAACCAACAGACCCCAGTACACTGAACACTGGTGTTCCACAGGGCTGTGTGCTGAGTCCTCTCCTCTACTCCCTGTTCAACTATATACACAATACACGTATTCACATTAAACCGTTCGGTACGAGGCTTACGAACCGAACAATACGTTTGAATAATACTAGTGCATTTGGAAAATGCAGAAGCTTAAATTGTGGGAAATATAATGTTTTCTGGGCTCACATAGGAGACAACGGGCTGTGTGACCTCTGAACCCGGAACAAAAAAAAACAAAAAAACAAAAACAGCTGAGGCACCGCGTGTGTACTGGGAGGCTATGCTAACTAGCTTAACGGGAAAACAACAGCGGAACACGCATTCTGCTACACACTGGAGGGCCATTCAGATACTAGATGTAAAAAAACAAACGCAGTTGACTTAAAGACAAACTCCATCTTCCTTTCTTTGTTGACTAAGAGTTTAATCCCACGGTTAAATCCCAACTCACAAATCTGTTTCTCCTCCTTCAGCCATTGAGTGTTAAAAAACAAAGCTAGATAAAATAATAATAATCTACACCAAGCAAAATGCAAAAAATGTCATAATTTCTTCCATATCTTTCAATTTGAACTCTCACTACTCCGACTAAGCCTCTGATGGCTACTTTAAGTTTCGTTTCACAATAGTCACGTGCTCGCCCACTGACCAATCACAGCACACGCTGCACCTCACTGCAGAGCTGCACCTGAAAACTGAGCTGCACGTAATGCTGACGTACTTGTAGGCCAGCTAGCATGCTCTGACACGTCAAAGAATACGCCCAACATGTCAAACTAAAGATCTGATTGGTTGAAGACTATGACAATCAACAATATCGTCCCCATTCACTTAAACTGCACATGGATTCACTTGTGAGTCTGCAGGCCTCTGCCTCTGTTCTTACCTAGAGACACAGAGGTGAGATCTGATTGGATAAAAGCTCTACTTAAAACAAGCTGCACTGGAAGCAGAGCAACTGAGGAAGACAGGAGCTGTGCAATGAGAACATAAGATAATGGGGAAAATATTTATATAAATTATAATGCATGTAGTGTATTTAAGAAAAATGATTAAATTATAAAATAGCTCTAACTTTGTGATTGTGTTTAGGCCAACAGAGAAGGCCTTGCTGGCCCTGACGGCCCACCACTGGTGGAACGGAGGTTGAGCATCTCACCAGCTTTAGGTTTCTGGGTGTCCACATCTCAGAGGATCTCTCTTGGACCTTCAACACCTCGACCCTGATGAAGAAGGCACACCAACGTCTCTTCTTCCTGAGGAGACTGAAGAAAATCCACATGTCTCCTCTGATCCTGGTGAACTTCTACCGCTGCACCATCGAGAGCATCCTTACAAGCTGGATCACAGTTTGGTATGGCAACTGCTCTGTCTCAGACCGGAAAGCACTGCAGAGGGTGGTAAAAACCGCCCAACGCATCACCGGTACTCCACTCCCTGCCATCGAGACCGTCCACATCAAGCGCTGCCTGCGGAGGGCGCGCAGCATCGTCAGGGACACCTCACACCCCGGCCATAGACTGTTTACCCTCCTCCCCTCTGGGAGGCGCTATAGGAGTCTCTGTTCCAGGATCAGCAGGCTCAGGAACAGCTTCTTCTCCTCAGCTGTCACCTTACTAAACTCTGGACCACAGTGCTCCCCATCCCAGGTTACCCCTCCCCCCCACCACCATCAACCCACCCTCCCACACACAAACACACCAGATACCTTCCTCCAGTGACTATACATACTTACACCTTACTGTTTATACTGAATATACTGTATATCTTGCATTTCATATCCACTGTTCATACTGTTTATACTGTCTATATTGTTATATGTATCTGTTATTTATTTAGCACATTGCACTGCACCTTTACTGCTTCTTTTTACACTTCTGGTTAGATGCTGAAACTGCGTTTCGTTGTCCTCGTACTTGTACTCTGTGCAATGACAATAAAGTTGAATCTGAATCTGAATGAGATTCGATGGAAATAAACTTCCTGTTTCTAGGGTAAACTGAAATGCTGGCATGCATTTCAGCACATATACTTTGTCATTACCAGCCAACAGAGATGAGAGGGCAGAGAGATGGCTCACTCCTTAGCTACAAGTAGCTCCGGGAAGTCTTTTCTGTACCACTTTCCTGTTTGGGCAAGTGAGCTGCTAGATTTACAAGCCCAACGAGGCATTTTACTGTCGCTGGGGAAGCGGGCAATAGTCACTGTCAAGCCAGTCAGTCTACTGTTGGCGACCACACATCCCATGCGGATCATCTGGGGGCTCCATTTGCTGCTCGACAGCCCCTTATCGGCTGCTGAGGAGGGGGGAGACTGATAAAACCTTCGCACACAAAGCCTGCGTTTGAAGTGGGATAAAAGAGCATGCACATTCAGACCGCACGTTAATCCTCAGAGTGCAACGCTCATCACCCCTTAAACCAGAGGGCATTGTGTGAAATATTGGCGAAGCAGACCTGTCGCTCATTAAAAATGGACACTGCCTTGTTTGACACCGGAGCATTTCCACATGCCGGTGCAAGAACCAACCCTCTGGAGTATCTGTGATGCTGAGAAGAGCAGAATTCATGGTTGCGAAAGCTGTAAAACTACAACGATATCTACTGTAGTGCAGGATTTTAGTAGATTTTAATAGTAACTGTATCGTAAAGCAAAGGGTATTATAGAAACCTGTGTTCAGGCTTTGAGCAGTGTAAGATCCATTTGAAACCCC